ATCAGTGAGGAGAGCAGAGTGATGAAGCCAGTTCAGAGATGGGGATTATTAGGAGGCCATGACTGGTAAAGACCAGGGGAAAATTTGGCCAGGACACTGGGCTAGCACCCCTTGTAATGCTGGTTACCACATTTTAACACTTTGCTAAGGATCCATACATGTTTATTGTTCAGTAAAGACTCAGCTGGAGTTTGGTAAAAATAAATGCCAAACAAAAAAACAGTGCTTGCCCATAGGCGAGTTAGCCACTGGACTTTTACCCTTGTAGGGAATGAACGGATTTGCCACAGGACCTCTCAGCTACAGCAGATGACTGTGCCCGTGAATCGGCCTTCAGTCATCACAAGTCACAGATGGGTTAATAGTGCTGTCGGACGTTTAGAAGAGGATTCTGCAACACAGCAATCATTATGCCTCATCGCATTACAGCTTTGGGGTGGGGGAGGTTATATATATATATTCATGCAGGGTTATAACGCATATTGCGAGATAATCCAGGAACCGTAGGGATCTCCATCTCCACAGCTGAGGGACAATTCCTCTGCGCACGTATCTGATGAGCTACTTTAAAAACAGCCATATTTGGAGAACAGGAAATTCTTGGTCAGAGTTCAGCTCATTTCTTTTTTGTTCAAGCAAAGTTAACTTCCTCCAATTTGCTGTAGAATCGACAATGAGCTTTATTTGGCAAATGATATTGAAAATAAGACGTGTGCACACCGTGGGACAAATACTGCTTACAGTGGTTAGGAGACAAGGCAGCAGTTCAGGCAGAATTAACCTCTTCCTATTGCCTCAGCAAGCATTTCCACAAGCTGTTCTGTGCTTCAGTACCAACAGAGGTCTGCTGGAGTAACCCTGAGTGTTCTCATTTGAGCCTTCTCAATTAACTAATTAACAATCAAGATTAGATTTTTTTTATGCAATAAGGTTTTGAATTGCCTTTTGAACAGTCTAGATATTAGATATAAAACAAAGTTGGTCAATTCCGTTTGCTGGGGCTGGCCTGTTCCAAGTCTTGTCATGACAGCACTGCAAGCTGGCTGTGGAGCACTGTTTATCTAAATCTCCTCCACAGATCACAGGCAAAAAAAAAACTCCCCTATTAATGCTGAAGCAAGGAAACTGACGTAAGAGGCTAATGTTTACAGCGATAGAGCCCGATCCCCATCCTTCACTCTCCTCAGTCCTGCACAGATGAGAGAATTAGCCCTTACGATGATGACGAGGCAGGATTGTAGCAACTCCAGTAAAACAAGGTATTTAATGTTTTATATAAGCTGTGGCCAAACTATTTATTTCAGAGCATACACGACAGTGTTTGTACCTTTGTTTCCTGGTTAGTTTTCCGTGTGTGTGTGTGGGGAATTCCTTTACCAGCTGGACGCTTATCACCATTACACATCAAATATCTGCTAGGGTTAAAACGGAGCGCACTGGAGCAGAAACAAAACAACCTTTCCCATGCTTTACCGCAGAGGGTCGGCGAAACTGTACACGCCGCGACATTGTATAGTTTTCACTCGGTTTACCGCTAGACACACACACAGGGTACCCTAACCCGGGCGCACACACCCGAGGCAGGTGCGCCGACAGACGGAACTCCAAAGCGCACCTGAGACACCGGAGGTGAGAGTCTCCGCCGTTGCGCAATTAAATAGCACCATTTACAGAACCTGGGACGACAAAAAAAGCGTCAATAAAATGGATTATCCGGGTTTTTTTTAAAGTTGGCTCCCCCCCCCAACCATTTTAAAACGACCTTCCTTTAGCTAAAGGTTGTATGTCGGATGACATCCGTTTCGCAATTAACGGAGAAACATTTCAACACAACTAGAACACGAGTTGTGAACTACCCCCGATTCTTTCTCCCCGGTGCTTGCGGACAGACGCACCTGTCGAATCAAATGAAAGGCACACCGGTCGACAGTACATTTCCCGGGAATTAATCGGAGCTAGAGAAACCGACAACAAAACACGAATTCGGCATAAATACTGCTTTGAGTTTCCGTCTTGGAAACCTTTCAAAGATGAACCAGTCTGCGCAGCTCAGGGGCTCAAAACAAGACGTTTAGGAGTCGTGCATCTCTCTGAAGCGAATGACAGCCGGGAGCGCTAACAGTCCGCAGCTGTGCAGACTCCTGCGCTCTGTAACGCGTCGCTGGCGCTTGCCCTCCCAGCTCCGAAACCAGGGCGCACCGCTGCTGGAGTCACAGGTACGATACTCACAAGCGGGGCTGCTGCCTGTCGGGATTTGGAGAGTCCTGTGCTTGCGGGGAGTACTCCACAGACGAACTGTCCAAATTACCATCCTCGCCCTCCTTCGGAGTATTTAAACGCAGCCGCCCAGCGGGAGGGAGGGGCAGAGCGGCCTGACCCGCCCCCCTCCCTCCACACGCTACTGGGTCCGGACAGCACGGCGCAGGGCGAAAAAGCCTGCCCTGGCATCTCCGCATGCAAAACTGTGACGAAGATAATGCGATCATGGGGTGGTTGTTGCTTTTAGGACTCTTAAAATGTGAAATAACGAAAACAGGACGTTCTGCATTTCGAGATGAACGTTTGAGCCTAACGAACTTTACTCACGCAGGGCAGCGGCAGGCTGGCTGGTACATCAGCTCCCCTGCAGAACAGCTGCATCGCGTTGTCTTCCAAGAGGGAGTCACCCACAGCCCCGTGTGCTGGAGCTAATATTCAGGCAGGCATCGGCTCACCTGGCAGTGAGGAGTCTTCAGCAGAGCGCAGGTGAAGGTGGGCTCACCTGGTCAGGTAACCCTCACCAACACAGAGCCGATCCGGGGGGGTCCAGAGTGCAGCCCTGGCCCACTGGCAGCTTCACCCCCTCCGATCTGGAAGACCTGTGCAGGGGGGGGCAGGTGAGCAGTTAACGCACACCCCAGCATCTTTGGGGTGAGGGAACAGTTTGAGAAGGGGGCTGGTGGAGGTGGAGCTGTCCTCAAAGGTAAAGCAGTGGCTTGCTCTAGTGCCAATTGATTCCAGAGCTTTCTCCCAGCGACACAACGCAACCACCCCTGTGTCCCGTACCCTGCTGCGCCATGAGCACAGCTTGCAGCTGTCCGCCTGCTACTGCCACCACTGCTAGGGACAGAATAAAGAGCAACACAAGCACATCTGGAGCGGACAGCATAGGTCAGGTCTGGCTCAGCAGCCATCTTTGTGTTCAATGAAACACTTACTGCACGTTATCCTGAGCCCTTGGCTTTGCTTGCTATGAAAGGTGACATGTTTCTATAGATATTGTACTGAATTATAACATTTGCAGAAAACCGCAGTCTTATCCTGCCAACAGCTGTGCTGTTATTGTTTGACTGGAAGGCATGTAAAACAACATACTTTTCCTGGTTGCATTCCAAACCCATCATCATCATTGTGCCTATAGCAATATTTACAAACGGTTTTACTGCAAGTCGGCCTTTTTTGTCTCAAGAACTGTTCTGCTGATGTTCACGATGCACAGTTGCCTGTGCTGGAGACACAGTGACGGCAGGACTTTCAGAGGACGAGGAAGGATGTGAAATTGCCTCTGCCACAAGCACAACCACAAGTGCAGAAGTCAGGCCGGCACAGACAGATAAAGTCTCTTGTTTTCTTTCAGAGCTAGCCGACACTGGCCCTTAGACATGAAAGCAATGAGCTGATAGGAAAATTCCATTAAACTCCATTCACTTGATCAGTTCATCATATAAGTACCCGAGTCCAGGTTTCAAAGGTTTTTTTGCAATAGATAATTCTGAAAATAACCAAATATATTCAGCACTTTCACTGAACAAACACTTGGTATGAAAAGGCTGTGGCTAGTGTTGGCTGTGAAAATGCGTGCACGGGTAAATTTCAGTTGAACACCCGTGACCTAGTGTGGGCTGCCTTCTCATGTGCGTTCTGTGCATTGGCGTTTTGTTAAAGTTAGTTTTCTCTCTTGTTTTCATGGTGGCTGAGTGAATTGGGTAAATGGGGATATTTCAAAATATGGGCTGGCTGATGCTTCCTCCTTGTACAAAGCTCACATTTGTACAGCTGAGTATTTTACTGGTGCAATTTGACCCCTCTAGCATCCCGGTACAGGTTCAGAGACATAACCCATGTTCCACACGTCTGCTGTTGTGGGCAGATGCTCTGCAGGTAGATCCAATACCGTCTTATTTTTCTCTTAAGATAAGATAAGATCCGATCACTTTATTGGCCATATACAATTTCTTATATTAGGAATTTTGTCTTTTCGCATACCCCAGCTTGCTCTGCATGAGAGACACAGACAGGGAGAGAAGCTGGGGGTCAGAGCGCAGGGTCAGCCATTTATACAGCGCCCCTGGAGCAGCTGGGGTGAAGGGCCTTGCTCAGGGGCCCAACGGAGTAGGATTCCTCTGCCGGCTGCGGGATATGAACTGGCAAACCTTCCGGCCACAGGCGCAGCTCCCCAGTTTTTCGCTTACTAAGATCTGAAAGTGAAACACCTCTGATCAAAAACTGGGTGATGTTCATCCGAGGTGTGAGGAGAGTCCCTCAGGCATTCTGACCATGCCGTTGTCATTTTTGCTCCATTGTTTTTATTGGGAACCAACAAGAGGGTATTCCTTTCTTAGCAACACAGCTGTGCAGAGCACTCCAGAGCAGCTGTTCTTGGTGTTGTCTATCGGAGTGGTTGACATCGGCATTCGTAGGGTCAGCTTGTATTTTTTGAGGCAGCTTTGTAGCTTCCCCAGAGGCGTTTTCCCCAGATGCGCACAGCTGGACAGACACATCCCCCACCCATGCCAGGAGCTGCAGCACATTCCTCGCAATCCCTTACAAGCACCAGAACAGCCATCCTCCCACCACCACCATGAAACTGGAAATCCCGGGCTTCCTATATAAGGTCAGCCATATTATCTCCTGCCTTAAATCATTGCCGGCACGCTTTGTTTTCCAGGCCCAGAGATAGACAGGTATGCACAGGGAGAGGGAAGAGAGGCTCTGTGCCCCAGTGGCGTAGACGTATGGTCTTGGGCGGGGGGGGAGGTCGATGTGAGTGCGAGGTTTCTGGTCCTCATCAAGACGAGCAGAGTGCGCGGCGAGGATGAGGACACCGCAGCAGGGCCTGCGGGGCTGAGAGAGGGGAGCTGTGCAGCAAAGCCCTGGGAAGCCTTATAAGGAGAGCAGGGTCTGTGAGGAATCCCTCCTGCATTCCCCATTTACAGCTGTAACGCAAGCAGCCCGGGACACTGACTAAATATGGTGCAAGGGGAATAGGATCTTAAAAACAAATTGTGCTGCAAGTTCGAAGACAGCATTCGCTTTTCCACTTCCTTCTTTATTTGTGAGTTTGTGCTTCCAGATTTCCAGGTTTTTTTTTTTGACGAACCCCTACCAGGAAAAAGAGAAGTGATTTACCTGTCCTTCGGCAGCTCCTGGAAGTTTCATTCTGGATCTGTCAAAGCGGGCGTCAAACCTTTCGGCACAGGTCACTCGGGGGCGGTTAACAGGCTATTATCCTCCAGCCGGTTTAAACTGGCTTTCACTTTGCTTTGCTTTCCTGACACGTGTGGCTTGATTAGCAAGCTAATAAATCAGACTCATTCTGTCTGAGGGCCCAAAACACAATTAAAAGCTGCAAAATCTGGGAAATGAATTTCTAAAAGGTGTCGAATCACGGTGCGGTGGAGGTCTCACGCAGTTTCCCTTGGGATTTTTCATGTCCTAGTTTGATCTCCTAGTTTATGGAAGAGATGCCTGGGACAGGAGAAACAGAAGAAATGGGCCGATTGTGAGACCCAGGCAGATCCTGTCTCTAGGCCTTAGAGCTCATATAGCTCGTCACTGTAGCTCCTTCTCTGGAGCTCTTTCCTGCCCGCAGAGTCGCTCTTGCACAGGAAAACGAGCCCCCAGGTGAACTCAAAGAGCCACAGGCCATGAGCTGAGTAAGCGGTGAAATTCATCCTAGATTACTTTCCTTTCTCTTCTGGTTTCTCTCTGTGTTTTTTCATTCCCTCAGAGATCAAAGACTCCAGACTTCTTTCTCTATTTTTTTTCAGTCTAGTCTTTTTTTGTCTTATTTTGGTACTTCGGCCCCTCCCACTGTCCTTTTCCATGCACTGCCACCCAACAGGAGAGGGAAGTTTAGAACAAACTTGAGATGATTATCAGCGAGCCAGCATGCGTATAGACTTAAAAAAGCTCTTAACAAACACGCAACAATACAATACCAAAAAATCTTTAGGAATATAACCTTTTAAAAGTTTTTTTTAAAGGAGTTTACTAAATATACTATCAGCTTGTGTTCCCAAAATAGGACAAATAACTATACGTGACACCAGGTTGAAGCATAACATACATTGCCATTATTTATGAATTCCGCTAACACCAGTGGAATGCAAACGGACTCTAAATTAAGCTCAGGATAAACAAGCCGTCTCATACAGTAGCAGGTTAATTAACATCACTTCAGAACTCCAAAGAGGTCTATAATTTATCCACAGATGCACACACTCAGTGTCACCCCGTTAATCCACGAAATAACAGACAAATCTTCACACCAGCATTTCAGTTTCTATCTTTATGTCTTTGTAGCATGATAATCTAGGTTTCCATGCTATGCTGTTTGATGAAGTTGGATAGGTCTGGGGTTGGTCTCAGGTTTCACTGTCAGCCAGCCAGACAATGAGGGTGTTTTTGCAGTTCATGAAAAACACAATGCACAGCCGACAGAGCTCTCTTCAGCTATTGTTTCTTACTTTCTGAAAATAGGGTAACTTGATCCAAAATCTCAAGCAATCAGTCATGAAACTTTACTGATATAAAGCCTACCCAAGCATGGGAAACTGAGCGCTTCAGTAAAGATCCATTAAGTCATCGATTAAAACAGAAATCTCATTCAGAAACTTGTGCTTCTGTGTGTTTCTTGTGGCGTAAGCCAACCCTTTAAAAAAAATCGCTATAAATGGTGCCGCCCTGGCATTCTTCTCCGGACTCCAGCCCACATGAAAAACTTGAGGAATGTTACGCGGAGACTGATATCTTCTTGGTCGTCCACGCATTGTTTGCATGGCCAAGCCTGAGAGTGTCTACTCTCAGGCTTACCTAACACCTGCGTCTGGACAGTCGAATACGCCATGGGGGGCCGGACTCAGCTGTGCCGTTATCCCTGATAAGATGAGGTGCAGACGGTGGTTTGCAGGTCTGTCCACAGGGGAAATCAGAGCCCGACAGGTTCAAAGGTCAAGCTACTCCTTCCGGTCACCCGTGTGCACAAGAGAAGCTCACTTCCTGTAGGTGTGTATGGAACCACGGCCAGGCTAGACAGGGGCCTTACGGTGTTTTGATTACTTTTTGTTTCGGTGTTCTTTGAGGGAATGTAGAATATATGGGCTCAGTACTCATATTTTACAGCTGCAAAGAGCTTACAGCATCTCTGCCACCCACCAAAAAAAAAAAAAAAAAACAGTATCAAGATCATATCACAGAAAGGAAATATCGGTGTTTGTCATTTGCCATTCACTGCTAGAGTTCCATCATCCTTAATAGTATTGTCTTCGGACAGGAATAGAATGGTGTATTAATCTTGTCCAACAGTGATTTCAAATTATTATTCAGCTTACCACTAGTTCTTCTCCCTGCATATAAGAAACGTCTAACAGGGAGAGTTCCATCAGTCCTGATTAGCTATCCAATAAGAATGTCAAGTTCCCTTTTATGGTATGTGAGGAAACGAGACGAGGAGAGGCCCGTGAGCCAAACAGATGTTTTTGTGACCCCAGCCAGAAAGACACTGCCGGGACTCTCCTGCTCCTCTTCACTTTGAGAGGGGAGTCTATGGAGTCTGTCGTCTCCATTTCAACTTTTTAAAGACCTCTGTAGAGTTCTAGAGAAAGTGTTTGGATTTTATTGCTCTTCATATCCTGGCAGCTAGGACAGATTTCCTTTCCCTCATCTGGAAACTGCCTTGACTGTTCCACTTTATATGAGCATGCCGACTTTTCCTTATACAGATGTAGTGCGCAACACCGACATGTCTGGCGTAAGCTAAGAGAGGCTGGGTGCCAGACAAGCAGGATGGAGATACTAATAAACATGATGTTGTAGTAAAACTTGTATCAAAAATAAAGCAACTACTACCTGCTGTTCCAGGAAACCTCTCCCCATTAGATTAGTATCATTCCTGAAAAGTAAAACTCCCACAACTGGATATAGGTTACACACTTTGCTTTTTTTTCTCCGCAAAAGAGCCATTATTGTTAGTTACCTTAATGGGGCAAATATAAGATGTCTTGTCTTTTTTGTTTTACGGGGAAAATATTGTAACAGATTCTCCGATTACGCTGTTTATGTGACGTGCAATCCTCAAGATACAGCACAGCTGTTCACGGCACAAGGCCGCACTCAGAGAGAGGAAGAGGGGTCATCCTTTAGAACGCAGAACCCGTGGAATTTTAATGAAAACAAATCACTGCAAACAAATGTATTTGGTATCCAGCAGATTGTCAAGTAAAAATGCCTCGGAAAAACATTTCAGTAGCACTGGGATTTTTTTTATGTCCATATCAGAACATCCCAAACTTAACTGCACTTTGAGAACCTTGCAGGTGGTTCATAGATGAAGCTGCAGAGTTTGACACGTAATCTTGTCCAACAGTGATTTCAAATTATTGAAACCATTGACACGTAAGGTAAACTGCAAGCGTCCGAACTTCACAAGTAAAGTTCACACCTGAGGAAGGCTCCACGGCCGAAACGTGTTTTCTTTCTTCTCTTTTCAGCATGGAATAAACCTATTACTTGTAACTTTACAGGTAACTGATTAAGGTACATATGCTGGTTATGAGATGTTTTCTGATTAATGTTCTCCTTGTGAAACACAAATTGTTTTAAATTGTTTTAGTTTTGGTGAAAGATGTATATTAATCTTTAATCTTAGATCTTAATCTACATTTAACTTTCATAAAGCATAAACAAATATAACCTATTAAATACCAATACATGAAATGAAGACACAGTGAAGAAGTACAATAGATATATAAACAATACACTACTGTAATTATAATTGGGAGTTACTTCCATTCAAAATTAAGGGTGTTTTGCTCGTAGTGTTCATAACCCGTGGCTCACCACTCCACCTGCAGGACAAAAATTTCCAGTGCAATTATGTACATAGAGTTTGATCCAATGCCCCTTAAACATTTAGTTTATTTTAAATAATCTTCAAAACCAGAAAAGTTGCTTTCATAATGTAATTCTGACTTAATATAAATGCACTTTTATTTGATTTGTCTGATTTTCTGTCATATTCATTTGAAATATTCATTTGAAAATGATGTTAAATCACTTAAATTATTGGTATAAAATTTAAAATTACCTATGATACTTTCACAAGAACAAAATACACAAAAACTGAGGTTCACTCACACACTATGAAATAAATATCTTTATTGAATATAAAACTGCATGTAGTTCACCAGGCGTCAGAATTAAGAACATGAAAACCATTAGAAAGAATCTTATCTTGTGTACTGAAATGAGGTTCCTGGAAATGTATGTCTTGCCCTCCCTGATTTAAACTCCCAAAATAGCTGTTCCTCTCAAAAGGATTCAACAAAGATACTGGTAGTTAATTCTGTCACAGCTCTCACATTACAACAACTGTATAGCAGATTCTCGTAGAAGCAACACAAATGCAACTCAATTAGTACAGAGGCTGGTAAGTATTCAGTGGTGGCTGGCGCAGACGGACTTCATCCTGGGATCTTATTGGTGAGGGGATTTGATAGAGAGATCCAGTTCCGAGCACAAAAGTGGTCTACTACAAATTAAGAAAAATACTGAAGAGCAGTGCCGTGCTTTAATGTCACCAAGAGAAAGGCCTATATGTCCGTCCCTGGTTTGTCTCTGGGAGGAGTAATCAGAGGGTCACAGCTCACCGGCTCTGTTGCCCTCGCGAGAACTGAAATTGTTCTTCTCGGAGGCCAGAGGCGCTGCCGCCCTTCTCAGTAACAGCCTGGTCCCTTTATCACCTGGACCGCTGTTCAAAAAATGGCCAAGCAAACTGTAGAGAAGTGGTCTGGGGAAAGAGAGGGGGAAAAAACAGATGGTACATTTACATCAAATTACAGCCACAGCCTTGCGTCCTGCTTTGAACTCTCTCCCTTCAGGTATTCAGCCCCACTCTACATTTCTGTTTGCCAAATGCAAGGTTAATGTTTAAGTACGGATTGATTGCGATTGTGTTTTGCTTACATGTTAATATGTCTGCTTCATCAGTCTTCTGCTGCACCGAAAGCAAATTCCACCAGCTATCGTTGTGTGGCAATAAACAGTTCTATTCTTTACTGAAAACACAGAATAGCCGCCATTGCTGTTTTATTTTAATGACATGTCAGAGTTTTCTTTTAAACTTTCTTTCCCTAGCTGGGACACCAATAAAACTTCAATTCCTACAGCTGTCCAAACACAATGAATATAGCCCATGACCGTCTTACTACCTCAAATCTAACCTGATGCTGTTTGCCTCAGATTAACCGAACATGAGACAGATGTGTGACTGTTCAGCCTCATCTTCAGAGCACCGTCTGGGACTGTCACAGGGCTCAAAAATGAATAAAAGCAGTATTTCCTTTCATTATTTAAATTTAAAAAAATCCCCTGACCAACTTGTAGTCTTCAGATATGTGTGAGTGTGACAGGCCTGGGTATGTACTGCAGTAGCTGCTGAAGATCTCCAGCACTGGGGCACTTACACAGATCTGGCACTGGCGTCCTCCACCACGTTCAGTTCGTTGGCCAGGAACTGCCTGTCGAGGGGCAACTCCGGCTGGCCTGACTCTGTAGAAACACCAGGGCAGACTGTACTTTAGGTCATTCTGATGTTTTAACAAGAACCATATAGAACAATCATGTCATGATGACACCATATTGAACAATTACATGATGACATCATAAAACCTTGCCTACAGTAATTACAGCTACTAAGGAGTGCTGAAGGAATCCGGTCAAAACGGGATAAGATTCTCCCTAACTCCAGGATTCAGGATATTGGAAATGATAGATGCCCAGCACAATGATTGATGCCCATCCCCGCCCATGTCAGGTCCCTGACCTTCCCCTGCCCCACGCCTACCCACGGTCAGCACGGAGGCAGTGTAGCGGTACTTGTTGAAGTCCAGGTACTCGCGAATCAGCTCGTTGATGAGCAGGTTCTCATGGGACAGGGGAGGCCGGGCTTCATTCTGGTCATCCAGGGCATTGAACACTTCGGCTCGGATCCGGGCTTTCAGCTGACCCAGAACCCCCCTCGATTCTAGGGTCTCCTTCAGAGCTGGCCAAGAAGCACACAGACACACAACCACACAGTTAAAAGCATCCAGAATCCTTAAGGGGCACTGACAAAGGCAACCCAGTTAAACTTCAGACCTGAACTAAGAGGAAGAGCACTTAAAACTGAGAACTAGAGGCATCTCATACACAGAGAGTTGTGGGAATGTGGAACAATCGACCCAACCTGCTGTTGAAGTTGATATCCCGGCTTTTGTCAATAAAAGTCTGGATGAGATCATCGGATCAATCAACTACTTCCAAACGACATCAACGGGACGAATACCCACCTGTCGTTTATAAAATGTACTAAAACTGTCGTGATGCAGGAATAAAACAAAAAACTAATGAATTGCAATCTGGGGTACAATGCCTTATTATCTCGTGATTTTTTATTTAAATCCCCCTGCATGTTAAAGTGTAAACTAGGTGTGTTGTCTCCGGAAAATAACATTCAGGCAGCGAGATTTATCGTTTGAGACATGCTCCTAAAGACATAACACAAGGATTAAAAGCAAGACCTAAAACGTTTACGGGGTGTATTACTTAATACTTTATTTAACACTGAACTCACCCAATTTCAGCTCCGTTGTCGTCGCCATCGTAACAAACCGCCACTTCCGGGGTGAAAGGTCAAATCATGTTCTTCCATTCTTGGCTGCCCCGAGGTTCCGCCTAATTTAAGTGGGGCTGCTGTGAAACCTGAAAATTTACAGGAAAGATATTAAATTGCGTTATTTAAACATTCTTGATCACGCACAATCGCAGAGTAGATAAGAGACGGTATTTCTTCAAAAACTGTTAGTATGTAAAGCGCTGATACTATGAAAATCCTAATTTTATACGGTATATAGTATCTAAAAAGCTAACAAATAGACATTATTCCTATTTTGACAAAGCAAGCTCATTTTAATGTGATTTTGGCACTAGGTTTACCTTAGCGAAAACAAGCTTTTTTTAACGTCACTTAAGGGTAAAAACAGCACAAAAGTGCTGATTCATTTGGTTGTCACGCAAATTGATTCACCAGGCAGATACCTTTTTCTTTGTTTTGACAGCGAGGGCAGAAAAAGTTACAAAAGGGGACCATTAAAGAACTGTCACTGTAGCCGAACAGGTCGATCCTGTTGCCCGTTTGAAAATGCAGACAATGCAAAGACTGCCTGCGAGATTATTTTCCAGGATGAACGAGGTTTGCTCATGCAGCACCAGCTACACCAAGGGGCTCCCGATTCCTCAGGCACGGTTGGCAGATAACGAGAGCTCTCTGCCGGAGAAGAAACCGCCTGGGTTTCAACAGAACATTGCTTTTCCAGCAGCGCAAGCATGTAATTACTGCTTGGAATAACAAAGATGATGTTATTAACATATGTTAACATGTCTGTCACAAAAAGAAGTAAAAATGCTTGAAGTTCAAGGAAAGAAGATCTTGATGATCTTAACCTGGTGGGACAGTACACAGGCGAATACACAGAATACGAATCTCAGTTGAATGTTTTATACAGATTTTCGGACAAGGTTCTTGTATATTGTCCTGCTTGTAACATAAGGGGATTATGCTGCATTTTCCTTGGAAAAAAGCACAGTTGTGACCCAGTTGTGAATGTAACATCATTTCCAGTCCTTTTTTGATGAGAGCAGATTTCACATAATTCTAGGACACATGGAGAGCAAGCTGGGGTATGCGAAAAGACAAATTCTTAATGCAAAAAAATTGTATATGGCCAATAAAGTGACCTTATCTTATCTATGACTATATAAATGGCCCCGGTTGAAGGACTTCAGCAAAACTCAGTTTATTCAACTAATTACACACAAAACAAGCACCGGGAAGAAGTCAAGAAATAAAGCTTGTATGGGTGGAAGCAGTGTGATGCTCGTCATACATGCTTTATAATGTAGTTTGCATATTTCCTCGAGCTCCACGGTGACACCACCCCGCACGTTAAAGGAGGTGGCACTTTCTGAGCAGGACCATCGAGACGGGGGCCCGAGAAATAGAGCGGTTCCCGTGTGTGTGTTTCGGTGTTTTCCCCTCAGTGTGCTGGAGAGGCCCCGGCAGCGGGCAGAGCGCCCCCTGCCTGTCGCCCAGCGCCACCTCGGCCGCCCGGCTTATGAAACGAGGAGACGGCGCAGGCGAGCGGAGCCGTCAGTCTCACGGCAGCATTTCAGGCAACAACAGTGTTGTCGCCCATGGGGATTGACGAGTTCTGCAGCCTGGACGGTTCCGATCCCTTCTGGGTGAGTGTGGGTTTCCCTCAACGGGGGCTAAATGGGGTCCTGCTCGGGTTACAAAAAAACACCGGTACCGGAGAGGCGCCGAGGCCCTTTAAAATGTCATGTGTGAGGCTTTCCAAATCT